TATGTTAAATGAAAAGATCTTAAAATTGGATGACGGTTTAGTATTGCTACATCCCCTGATCAAATTTTGATCTGCTATTTTTTTCCAGGACGATTACAGCAGTACAGGCTTTGAAGTAGATGGGGCCTAAGGCATTTTTCGCAAATATGCCATTGTCCAAGACACTTACCATGAATCTTGACGTTCCAGAACCATGGCTTGTTGAACCAGTAATTGCCATGTACGGTATTTTCCCCTGAAAAAGATAATGGGATTATTCTGCTCTTTTCGGCGAGTAATGTTTCACTGCGTTAAAGGCATTTGCCTGTTTAGTTCGCTTAATTTTGCTTATGCTTGACTTTCTATTTTTCTCTTCGGGATGTGTCCTTCTCCAGTCATGATCTTGATAATATTTTGCTTGAGAACCTGGGAGCTACCACTACACTGCAGGCAGTTTTTGAAGTTGAATCTCTTGTTCTCACAGGTTAGCGTTTCTAAACTTATTCTTCTACACTGGCAGGATTTTGTTCATGTTTTTATTAACATAAACCCTGTACAGGTCATTGCTCGGAAAAGGATCATGAGGCTCCTCGTGGCCTTCAGCTGATTCTAGGAACCAAAAATAGACCACATTTGGTTGATACTCTTGTAATGGCCAATTTAGGTTATTGGCAGATGAAAGTATCCCCTGGGGTTTGGTATTTGCAACTTGCTCCGGGTAGAAGTTCTGAGCTATACCTTTTGAAAGGAGGTACTGATGGGAGTCATGATCAATCCTCGCTGAAACGTATTACTATCGATGATCTGCGTGGGAAAGTTGTTCATTTAGAAGTAGTTAAGAAAAAGGGTAAGGAGCATGAAAAGTTGCTAGTTCCTGCAGACGGTGATGATGGTGTGAAGCAAAACAACGAAGTAAGTGCTTACTCCAATAGAAGATTTACATAAAAACTATTGGTCATTGAAAATGCTGGTTATTAATTCTCCGATGACGCCTTTTGTTGTAGCGGGGAAGCTGGAACTCAAATTTCTTGAAATGGGCGTCTGGTTTTGTTGGTGGTCGTCAACAATCGATGAAGGGAGGTACTAAAGAGGTGAGTAGCTTCTGCAATTTGGAATAGATTATATGCATGTTGTAAACTTGTTGCATCTCTCAACTGTGCTTCATTTCGAACATGTTGATTGCATTTGCAACAGTTTAATCTTGTTATTTCTATTTTTCATCCTTTCAGGAGCATGAGAAGGGTGGACGACATGGGAAAACGATAAATATATTCTCCGTCGCTTCAGGGCATTTGTAAGTGCAAGTTTTTTTCTCAGCTATCTGACGACATACATTGACATATAATCAAGTGGGTTAAATTATTATGCGAGGAAGTGAACCAAATTCGCACCCTATCTGCAGAGATATTGTAGATAATCTTTAATAACTTTAAGTGCATCACGCATATGAAAAAGAAAATCATGTATGGTATGTCTACGTCTATATATGGATATCGTGTGCAGAAGAGTTTTAAGTAAATCATGTGAACAGAAAAGTTTAATATATGAATTTTTGGTATCACTTGCTTTCTGATGTCGAGAGACTGCATTTGACAGATATGAGCGCTTCCTTAAGATCATGATTCTCAGTGTCCTGAAGAACACCGATCGTCCTCTAAAATTCTGGTTTATAAAAAATTATCTTTCTCCTCAATTTAAGGTTGGTTCCTTTTTTCTTTGCATACACATAAATTTTGTGTTTTTGACTATTTATGGTTTTTTGTGTGTTTAAAATCTCTAAATGTAAAATGCATCACTAGTGATTCAACCACCTTGACTTAATTTGTATCGCGTTCTACTCTTGCAGGATGTGATTCCACATATGGCACAAGAATACAACTTTGAGTATGAGCTGATCACGTACAAATGGCCTTCCTGGTTGCATAAGCAGAAAGAAAAGCAACGAATTATTTGGGCGTACAAAATACTTTTCCTTGATGTTATATTTCCTCTCTCATTGGAAAAGGTAGGAATGATCATGTCACATCTTCAATTCTTTCTTGGGATTTGGATGCTTGGAAGATGCCACTATAAGGCACTCGACACGGATTTTGTAGGTTATATTTGTCGACGCAGATCAAATTATAAGGACAGACATGGGAGAACTGTACGATATGGATATAAAAGGAAGACCTCTTGCGTATACTCCTTTTTGTGACAACAACAAGGAAATGGATGGCTATCGATTTTGGAGACAGGTAAACATTAATCTGTTTTTTCTTGTAGAGGTAATTGGTTTCCTTACTCTTACATTCCCAACTGCGTGGAACAGGGTTTCTGGAAAGAACATTTACGTGGGAGACCATACCATATCAGGTAGACAAACTATTTCACTTGAACCTCAGTAAGTTGTTGAGTTCGCCATTCTTTCTTGATGTGCCTTGTTCTATCTGTAGTGCTCTGTACGTTGTTGACTTGGTTAAATTCCGAGAGACGGCAGCAGGAGATAATCTAAGAGTATTCTATGAGACGCTTAGCAAGGATCCAAACAGTTTGTCCAACCTAGATCAGGCAAGTTGTTCATTCTGGTTATCTACATTTTTCATGATAACCTCTCTTTAATGGTGATACTATCGTTTTCCTTTATTTGAAAGCCTTAGCATTTAGACCTTATCCTAACCCACTTTATAAATTGGAAAAATAGACTTTCTTTATCTTCTAAGCAAAACCTACCGTTCTGTTTTTAGTGCTGCAGTGAGCATCACAATACACACGGAATCTTTAGAACATTCTACTACTTGTTTGGCTTATCTTTCAAGAGTTCTAAGTTCAAACTTATTGATTGGCATGTCATTATCTTGTTTCAGGATCTTCCTAATTATGCTCAGCATACTGTTCCTATATTTTCACTTCCACAAGAGTGGTTGTGGTGTGAATCCTGGTGTGGAAACGCCACAAAATCCAAGGCCAGAACAATCGATCTTTGCAATAATCCAATGACAAAAGAACCAAAGCTTCAGGTAAAATGATGGCTTCTGTAATAACACACCAGTGTAGATGCATGATTCCAAGTTTCCCTATGAAAATTATTTCCACCATCTACAACAGTGATAAAGTAGTTGTTCTTGTGCAGGGTGCCAGAAGAATCGTAACTGAATGGCCCGATCTTGATTTCGAGGCACGGAAATTCACAGCCAAAATCTTGGGTGAAGATATTGAACTCAACGAGGCAGTAGCTGCTGCTACAGACAAGCCTAATCCTCCTCCATCAAGGGACATCTCTGAAGATTCAGAACAAGACTTGGAGTCTAAGGCAGAACTGTAGGTGCAGATTCCTGTAGTGACAAAAGAGGAGAAGAAAACGTCAATCGTGGTTATTGCTAGATAAGGTTTCTAGTTTTCTAGTTGCAGTTTCAAAGACATCTCTCAGCAGAACTAGGCATAAGATAAGGTATTGGCCAAAACGAGCTTTACGTTTGAGAAGTTAAGCTTTGGGAGAGTGAACAGGAAAACTATAGTTTGCAATGTTCATAGGTTCAACATTGTGTGAAGTAGATCAACCATATTCAGAGAAGAATAATATCAGTATAATATGATTTAAGTTTAAGGACTTGTTCAATCAATAACAAAACAGACTGATTATTAATAAAAACAGAATAAATATATAATGTTTATAAACATACAGATATACCATCATTTTGCTAACGCATCAAAAGCGAAATCTTCCGCTTAGATACGAGTCCATGACCTACTAAAAACAACGTAGGATCAAGAGTGCATGCCTCAAGGCTCAATCCACACTTTAGGTATGATAGGCCATACAAAAATTACAAACATTTTTTTTCCAACAAATAGCTTGGATTCACCTCTGCACTACTTACCTAAGTTTAGCACTGATGAGGGTACATGGACAAAAACAAAAATGGGTCAATGAAATTATAAAATTTTATAGAAACCTGAACTCCTCTATACATTAATAAAGTTGGGATTTTGATAATTTATTAACTTATGTAAATATCAATTAAGTGATAAATTAATAGATATCAATTTGTGGAGAAAGTTTTTTTAGTACATATTATTCTGAAATTTTCTTTAAATAATGTTAAATTAATGAACTTCAATTCTTTATGTGAAAACTACATACATGACTATTAATCTTTGATATTACAAGAAAATGTATACCATATTAAGTAGTTTATATGAAAGTGTATAAAATTCAAAATTTGTACAAAATTGTGGATATTATCTTTAGTGTGGATGATATTGAAAAACGATACTACAATATATTTAGAATTATTTACTCTAAAATACTTATTGCATCTAAAATATTAATTTTACAGTTTTTGATTCTTTTTTTTCATTTTTTCTGTACATTTTAGGAAATATGCGATTAATTACTTACCCACTCCACAAAGATCCCACGATCATGATGAACGACTCTACTTATGCCGAAATTTTTTTTTATAAATTTGCGTACTCAGAGAATTGAAACTCAAATCTTCAGGTGTATAGAATTAGTTTTTGATTCAATATATAAAATTAGATAAAAGTTTTTACAAAATTTTTAAATAAAAACAAACAACAATAAACCATTTATATGCAAAAAATCTAGAAAGTCAATGAACTTTTACAAATGGATTTTCAATTATTTCTAAAATCTTAACCCAATCAAAACAATACCCATATTGAATCCTATTCACCAAGATGATTATAGGAATGAACAGAGTTTTATTTGTGAATGGGAAGGATTCAAATGCAACAGACTAAGTTGATTACAATTTTATGGAGACTGTTTGATTGTGGGATAATCAACTATGTTTGATCTAGATTCAGTCTACCGTTTATATTGCTCTTAGTTTCCAGATAAATACTTTTTGGGAAATTAATCCAGCCACATAATCCAAATTGGTTAACATTAAACCAAACTCAGACCCACAAGAAAACCTAACCGAATTTCGAATTTCACGTGTGTCACTGCGTTCGACTGTAAAAAGCACCACGTGTTCTCGCCTTTGCAGAGTGTACAATTCTCAGCACTCGAATCAATAAATCTCTCCATTTTTACACAACTCACCAGTATGTAATGGAATCATCCCACACGAATCAATTTCGCGAAATTAAAACCATAGATTTCTGCAAAATTGATTCATTTCTGTAAAAAATGGAGGGTTCGTCGACGATCGCAAGGAGGACATGGGAGCTCGAGAACAACATTCCACCTGATTCATCCTCCGATTGCATCTTCTACTACGACGACACTGCGCAGAGTAAGTTCCAGCAGGAGAAACCATGGGCGAACGATCCTCACTACTTCAAGCGAGTCAAGATCTCAGCGCTTGCTCTCCTTAAGATGGTGGTCCACGCTCGCTCCGGTGGCACCATCGAAATCATGGGTCTTATGCAGGGGAAGACCGATGGTGATGCAATCATCGTTATGGACGCTTTCGCTTTGCCAGTGGAAGGAACCGAGACAAGGGTTAATGCTCAAGCCGACGCCTACGAGTACATGGTCGAGTATTCGCAGACCAACAAGCTCGTAAGTCTCCGTTTTTATAGGATTCAATTCGTGTATTTCTTCAATTCAGATTCCGATTTCGTTGTAGTTTCGTGAATGGTCTAGGGATTTCATCTGTTCGTATTGGATTCTGAAATCTGAAATTGGACTTTCTCTTCCGCAAATTGGTATCAACTTTACTATTATAGCAATGTTCACTCTGGTGTAGCACTTAAGAAGCTACATAGTTTCGATTTTAGTTTAACTTTCTACAAGTCAAAAGAGTTTGATTGATAACTTGTGACCTATAAAAAAAATAGGCTGGGAGGTTGGAGAATGTTGTTGGATGGTATCACTCCCACCCTGGATATGGATGCTGGCTCTCGGGTATTGACGTTTCTACTCAGAGGCTTAACCAACAGTATCAGGAGCCATTTTTAGCTGTTGTTATTGATCCCACAAGGACTGTTTCAGCTGGTAAGGTTGAGATTGGAGCATTTAGAACATATTCAGAAGGATATAAGCCTCCAGATGAACCTGCTTCTGAGTATCAGACTATCCCTCTTAATAAGATCGAGGACTTTGGTGTTCACTGCAAACAGGTACATACATACTTGTATCATCATATTTTCTTGATTGGAATCTCCCAACAGGATTCTTATGTTTGACTTTTTTGGTTTTGGCAGTATTATTCATTGGATGTCACTTATTTCAAGTCATCTCTTGATAGTCACCTTCTGGATCTCCTATGGAGCAAGTACTGGGTGAACACTCTTTCATCTTCCCCACTGCTGGGCAATGGAGACTATGTTGCCGGACAAATATTAGACTTGGGTAAGCTCTTAGGAGAATATCATTCACTCTTTCTTTCCTTCTCAAGTCATAGTAATTGTTATTAGAATTTTACCAATGAAGCTGAGAAGCTTGAGCAAGCAGAGAGTCATCTGGCTCATTCTCGCTTTGGAGGAAGTGTGCCATCATCCCTTCATAGGAAAAAAGAGGTATGTGTGAGCGGTTCATCAAATTTATTGTCTCTGCCTTTCACAACCCACTTCTCTAGCTTTTTTTCCTGTCTAGAACTTCTACATCTAGCTAATCAAGTACCACCACCATCATCATCTAGCTAGTTGGATGATAATTCTTCAACTTTTCTGGCTATTTAGGGATGTTTGGTTGAATTGAAAGGAGAATGTGTCGTCGAAGTTTGAACAGATAATGAGCGTTTCGTAATGTCTTGCTTCTTAAAGATCTCACCATTTGACCTGTGTTCTGGATCACTTTCAGGATGAGTCTCAACTAACTAAGATAACTCGGGATAGCTCAAAGATAACTGTGGAACAGGTCCATGGACTAATGTCACAGGTGAATACAACAATCTGAAACGTAATTGGTGTTATATATCTTCCCTTAAATATTCATGGATCACGAACTCAAATTTGATAATTGTTGCAGGTTATCAAAGACGTATTATTCAACTCTGTGAGCCAATCCAGCAAGTCTCCCTCTGACTCGTCGGATCTCGAGCCTATGGTTACACCTTGAAGTTGCTAGTGTTTTGGTTTGTAGGCTTGTAGCAATGTGCCGTAGTTTTTTTGGGCAATGAATTTGGGTTTGACCACACATCGTTCGTGGTTATCTTGTCGTGTCATTTCCTTTTTTGTCCTGTTGTTGTGTAAGGCAAATGAAATGAGAACGAATTTTAGACTGAATGAATAATACTGAAGAAAGCTTTAATTTAACACGAATTTATACGTTTTGTGGAGGAAATCGAAATGTGGTTTTAAGGAATTGTTGTCGACATGGTTGATAATATTGGGAAAAGAAAGAAGAAAAAAAACGTGGAAAAAGACAGAAAAGATGAAACCAGAAAGCAATAATTTCAGTGGTGTATTTTGTTGCTGTTGACATAAATAAAATAAAATAATAATAAAAAGGTGGTGTTTTGCTAGCGTACGCCTCTCGGAGTTTCTCCGGCTAACAGAAATGGCGCAGAGAGTCGGAGGAGTGAAGAGATTCAAAGTTTCTCCGGCAACTCCAGATTTTCCCATTGTTTTCCGCTTGGATGGAGTTCGTGCTCATCGACGCTGCAATAATTGTTCTTCTAATCGAAGGCCGAGACTCCGGATTGTTGCCCAGAAATGGAAACTGAACGACATCGACCCAAGTACGACCTTCTTCTTCTTCTTCTTCTCCTTCTTCGAATTCGATTTGATTTGGAGTTATGTACTAGTCTCTGAAACATTAATTTTGGGTTTCTTCTACGATAGATGCGGTGCAAGAACGATTTAGTAGGTGGGTGTCTAAATCCCAAAAGTATCTTAGCGACGTAACCTATCCGCTGAAAAAAAAAGGTCAGAGTCTCAAGATCGATCTTGAGGATCAAAAAGATTTTGAAGACTTGGAGGAACTTCTTACAGTGGAACAAACAGTTGAAAGCAATACACCCAAAGGATCTCTTTCTTTTGATGCTATTATTTCCATCGAGCAGTTTAGCAGGTGGACCAACCAAAACACTCGATTTCATTGTATCAAATCCTTACTTGTCATTTAAGTTTTCAGTCTTGTGTGACCTTCCGTAATTTATATGCAGGATGAATGGATTAACTGGGAAGAAAATGCAGGATATATTTCAAACACTTGTTCCTCCAGCCACATCTAACAATGCCCGATACCTGGTGGAATATTGCTGTTTCAGGTTTTTATCAAGGGATAGCTCCGAATTTCATCCCTGTCTCAAGGTATCTGCGGTTTGAGAATCTTTACAACCATTGACTCTCTTAAGTTCTTATTGGTTTCTGAACCAAGGAATTCTTAATATTGGCGTAGGAGCCTGCATTCCAGAGGCTAATTTTCATCACAATGCTTGCGTGGGCGAATCCATACTGTAAAGAAAGATACTCACGCAATGATGCCTCAGAGAAACCTTCTTTTCAGGTATTTCTTAAAACCTTCACTTCTGTTAGCTTATGTGATGACAAAATGTTCTTTATTCTGGAATTGAATATCATAGTTTCTCTGAAGGTTAGTAGTGGTAATAGTATCAAGATAGTATTTTGCTCTTTTGGAAATTATGTTTCAAAATGCTGAGGTAGCAGATCAATACTGATGAAAGGTTATCGGTGTTGAAGGGACGGTATGTTGGGGAAGAGGCATTTGTTCGTATTGCGCCAGCGATTTCGGGCTTGGCTGATAGGGCTACAGTTTATAACCTTTTCGAGGCTCTAGCTGCTGCCAGTGATCAAAAAGGCATTTCTTTGGAGATTTGGCTAGCTTACATCCAGGAACTTGTCAAGTGAGTATAACATTGACTAAAGTGCATCTTAGATCTTTGTGCATTCGGTGATATCATTAGCTTGTAAGCACCTAAGAGTATGACATAGCTTACTGTTTGAATACCTATGGACTCAATATCACTTTCCAAACTGAACATATATCTTTTCGTGATAGTAGAGTTTAAATGTATGTAAACCCCATTAATGTATCTTTCCACTGTCAGAACAGAATACACGAAGGCCGGAAGTCATACCAGACTACAGAATTTCCTCAGTTGTCATCAGAGAGACTTCTATGCATGGCCGCTAACAGGAAAGGACCTGTTTTAAAGTGGGAGAATAACGTTGCATGGCCCGGAAAACTGACTTTAACAGATAAAGCTCTCTATTTCCAGGTATTATTAGTTCTATATTGTGTAACTCCCTCGGCAAGGAGCAGTAGAGTACAATTTTCCTTTTGCCGGTGTCAAATATTACTAAATTATATAGGATTGAATCCGCATTGTATACCTTTTCCTTCAGAGTTACATATTCCGTGCATACATATGCAACTTTAGCTGGAAGTCTTAGTTGAAGTAGTGTAATTTTGAACTCTTTAAACCCCTCTGTCGTTGAACTGTTCTTTTGGTGTCAAAATTTATTTATCGCTTCCCTTTCAGCCAGTTGACTTAAAGGGCAGCAAAGGGATCTTAAGACTTGATCTCGCAGGGGACAAGTCATCTGTTGAGAAAGCAAAAGTGGGTCCTCTGGGGTTCTCCCTCTTTGATTCTGCAGTAACTATCTCATCCGGCCCCGGGTGAGTTCATATTTTCATGTAACTGATGTGATTTTGATGTTTATCTTAGTGTGCCCTATGTCTGGGCGGTCGTTTTAGTTAGAGACATACTAACCTGTAATATGTTCATTTAAGGTTGGCCACTTGGGTTCTAGAGTTCGTTGACCTAGGAGGTGAACTGAGACGAGATGTTTGGCATGCGATTATTAGTGAAGTTATAGCGTTGCACACATTTCTACGAGAATTTGGGCCAGATGAGAATGATAAATCACTGTCTCATGTGTTTGGTGCAAAGAAGGGGAAGGAAAAGGCAATTGCAAGTGCATCTAACTGTATTGCAAGACTTCAAGCTCTTCAATACATGCGAAATTTGCCAGATGATCCTGTCAAACTAGCTCAGTTCTCTTTTCTTCGACAAGTAGTCTATGGTGACATCGTGTGTCAAACTTTAGCTGTAAATTTTTGGGGTGGACCATTAGTGACCAAAGTTGCAAACACGGTCTACAACCGAGGTAAAATGGCCAGGACTTCCGGAGAGTCCTATGAAAGTTTTGATAACGCCTCTGATCTAGATGGAAGTGTCTACTTGAAAAGGTGGATGAGATCTCCGTCCTGGGGTTCAACTGCATCTATTAACTTCTGGAAAAACTCTTCTCTAAGACAAGGCTTAGTTCTGAGCAAAAACCTTGCCGTGGCTGATCTCACACCAATAGAGAGAGCAGCAGAAACATGCAGACAAAAATATAAGGTGGTAGAAAAAACTCAAGCCACTATTAATGCTGCAACCATCAAAGGGATACCCAGTAACATTGATCTCTTTAAGGTAATGCTTAATACTCAGTATTTGTGGTGTTTCTTTACTGCCTCGTAATTTTTTTTACAAAGGTAAATTAGTAGAGACAGTAGTGATTCAGTGTTATCCTTTTACTCCTAATTATCACTCCCAGGAACTCATTTTACCACTGACTATAGCTGCCACAAAGTTTGAGAAACTCCGGCGATGGGAGGAGCCTTATATGACGGTCTCTTTTCTAGCATTTGCGTCAACAATAATTTTCAGGTTGGTTTACACCCTGACATGTGATATCATGTACGTTGCATTCAGAATGATCTTTATATATAAGACTTCCAGACGCATGCAAAGAATTCATATGAATTCATATTATCAACTGATCAACAGATAAGTTGGATATTGTTATATTAGTATCTGATAATATGAATACTACTGAGAATACTATTTTGTGCCTCAGGAACCTTTTGCAGTATGTTCTTCCCGTATCTTTAATGTTTTTAGCAACTGGGATGCTTACGTTGAAGGGACTCAGACGACAAGGGCGTCTTGGAAGATTGTTTGGAATGGTTACCATTCGAGATCAGCCATCTTCAAATACTATTCAAAAAATTATTGCTCTGAAAGATGCTATGCAAGTTATGGAGAGCTATCTCCAGAACGTGAATGTTGTGCTTCTAAAACTACGGACAATTGTACTTTCTGGCCATCCTCAGGTATGTTCTATTTACTGGATCAGGTTTCTTGCCACACCTTCTTCTCTCTGTTATCTATTATTTAGGAATAGGGTAAAGAATCATGTGATCTCTTGCCATAGATAGTGGTCGTGACAGGTAACTATTATGTGTTGTTATATAACCTGGTGATCCAATTTGAAATCTATTGACAGGTAACAACTGAAGTAGCGCTGGTTTTGCTGTCTACCGCAATTGTTCTAGTCATTGTCCCTTTCAAGTATGTTCTGGCTTGTGTTCTCTTCGATCAATTTACTCGAGAGCTCGAATTCCGGAAAGAAACGGTCATAAAATTCAAAGCCTTCTTACGAGAACGTTGGGAAATGGTACCAGCAGCTCCTGTTCTTGTTTTACCGTTTGTAAATGAAGAGTCTACACCTACAACTCAAGGCCAACAAACAGCTCAGAAAACCGACACAGAGCGGTGATTGATAACTTAGTGGCACATTTGTATAATGTAGAAATACAAATCCTAGGAGGAGCAAATATCAAATAATGTAGCTGACAGTGATTCTCTGGTTGTTAAATGTATATGATGATATAAGAACATAGCCCTATAAATGTTAATTAATCAATGTTTCTCTGTTTCTCTCATTAGGAAATAATCGCCATATTAGCCTTTCAACTGGTGAAAGACTTTTTTTTTTTTTTTTCTCACATTTTTTTAACTTTTTGAGCTCCAAAATAGGCTTGGGCGTTCAGATAACCGATCGGGTTTGGTTCGAATAATTTGGGTTTTCGATATTGACCATACCCGTTAACCCGACTCGCAAATCGGGCGTAAATATCCTTCTTTCAAACTTGAATTCTCTTTTTTTCCCTTTCTTGTGATTCATCCTCCGATTTTAACCCCTAATCGAAAAGTTTTAGAGAGATGGAGCTGAATCGGAAGACTCTCCTACACCTTTCGCGATGTTTTCGTCACACGTTCTCTGCAGATCCAGACACTCGTCGTCAAGCTGAGAGACCGCTATTGTGAGGCTGCCGATCGGTCTTACTATGGCTTAGCCGTCCGCCGAGTGGTTTCTGAACCCTTAGTCGACTAAGATACCCGTCGCTTATGGTGTTGTATTGGGTAATTTTAGCCTATCCGATCCGAACTCGAAATAAACCCGCCCATTATAAACTTTATTTCAATTTACTCTGTTGAGTTTTTATTACCTTATAGTGTAACTCGAAATAAACCTGTGAGTTTAGAGTTACCAGCAGATACCTAACTTTTTTTTCTATTATTTTTGTTTTTTTTTTGTATTTTGCAAAATAAATAATATAAAATATAATTTTAATTCTTACTATCCATTTAACCATAAACAAGAATCATTTTGAAACATAATCTCGCAAATATGAAACTCAAAGATGTATAAACAAGAAAGATTTGAAAAAGGATTTTGGAATTAAAACTAAAAATAATAAACAAGTTCATGCTTAGTGCATCATCACTAAAAACTTAGTCATCCAAATATAAAAAAAGTAAGCATCTCACACTTTTTCATCTCACACTTTTTCATCTCACACTTTTTCATCTCACACGTTTTCATCTTGGTCCTGAGCTACTTGCCGTAGTAGAATCTTCATTTCCATCATCAAAGTTATCTTTAATATCACCTAAAATTTGAAAATACGAATTAGTTAAACAATATAATTAAAGTAAAGAATCTATAAACTAGTTTTGATTTACCTTCAAGTTCTGCAAAACCACGCAACCAATTGCGCGTGCAAATCAATGCCTGAACAATTTTTGGAAGACGGCGGTTTCTATATGGGTTAAATACCCGACCTCCAATACTAAATGCAGACTCAGAAGCCACTGTAGTAATGAGAATACTAAGCAAATTACTAGCTAGAGAAGCCAAATCACCATAGCATTGCCCACTGTTTTTCCAATGGTCTAGAACCTCAAATCTAGCCTAGGTTCCTCCAAATAAATATCCAAATTCGATTTTGTATTGTCTAAACCAGGTTGGATACTCCTCTCAAGCTCAAAAAGATCCTATAACAACTAAAACATATGAGACACATGATAAATATGCAAAAGATACAATATTCTATTGAACAAGCAAAGATTGGAAAAAGACTTACATAATTAGGATCATCTTCCAGTGGTGATTCAGTTAGAAGCTCATGTGCAGTTGGTGTTGTTGAAATAGTCAAAGAAGTCCAAGAGTTGATCCTATATTCTTCATAAAGCAACTTCGGATTTTTCTTAATTAATAGGAATGCTGCTCCCATGCGATGGCTGTTCTGTAAGCTTCAAAATTTATAATACAGAATGCTCCCACAACTAAGAATTTTCAGCAGTATACAGACTGATCAAGCACTGGTTATATAAATATAGAAGCCTTACTCAGTGAGATGAAGTAGCCGCTACCATCTGCGTGTGGCTTAATCGACGACGACTTCCTGACTTGACCAGCATTACAGCTATTTTCTTCTTCTTTATCCAAAGAGAAGGAAAAATGCGTCATGGTCTTGTCTTGCGTATGCATTTTTTGTCTCATTCTTATGAAATTTCAAGCATGATACAACCTTATTGACTCGCTTAGTTACATGCAAGCCGCCAAAATGAGAGAGAGACAAAACCGTTACAACTTGAAACAGAAAATCCGGAAGATAACTCCTTTGTGTCACATGGAGCATGTTTTGCTTAGAACCTTTATAAAATAATAATCTACCATACTCACAATCTAATAATTCAATTGAACACAAACGAAAAGAAGATGAGAATCCAAGTTGGAGGATATGCGTTGATAGTTGCAGTTATGGCATCTGTTATATTACAGCAGCCTGAGTTGGTGACCGGACAAGCTAGAGTTCCAGCTATGTTTGTGCTCGGAGACTCATTGGTCGATGTTGGCAACAACAACTTTATAGCATCCATAGCTCGAGCCAATTACTTGCCCTATGGCATCGACTTAAACTTCCGTCCTACTGGCAGATTTAGCAACGGCATGAACTTCATTGATCTGCTTGGTAAGAAGATTTCAGCAAAAATCTGTTTAAATTAGTAAATCTTATATTTTACTGAAAAACACTGAAACTGTTCCGTAAAACAGCTCAGTTGTTAGGAATCTCATCGCCTCCTCCCTTCGCGGATCCAACCACAAGAGGCAATAGAATCCTCGGAGGAGTTAACTATGCTTCTGCAGCTGCTGGCATCCTCGATGAATCAGGCCTAAACTATGTAATTTATAAGTTTTTGTGTCATCACTTTTGTTGTTGTGTATAGGGTTAGTATATAGAGAGCGATGGCTTTACTGTGCAGGGAGATAGATTCAGCCTGAGCCAGCAAGTGGTTAACCTTGAGTCGACGCTGAGCCAGTTGAGAACGATGATGAGTCCACAAAACTTTACGGATTACTTGGCAAAATCTCTTGTGATTCTCGTTTTCGGAAGCAATGACTATATCAACAACTACCTCATGCCTAATCTCTACTACTCCAGCATCAGATACAGACCTCCTGAGTTCGCCAACCTTCTTCTCACTCAATACGCTCGACAACTTCTTGTATGATACATCTAAATCTTGATATAGTATCATCCTTCAAATGAATCTTCTGAAAAACATTTGTGGAATCTATGTGTAGACTCTGTACAGCTTAGGTCTAAGGAAAGTGTTTATACCTGGAGTAGCACCACTAGGCTGCATACCAAACCAAAGAGCCAGCAGAAGTGCACCGCCTGGGAGATGCCTTGACAGTGTCAACCAAATTCTAGGCACGTTTAACGAAGGGTTAAGATCACTTGTTGACCAGCTGAACCAGCGATCACCTGGAGCCATCTTTGTATACGGCAACACATACGGAGCAGTTGGTGACATCTTAAACAACCCAGCTGCTTACGGTATACCTCCTCCTAGATTATATATGGCTGCTTAAAATGGAGTTTCTTTCTATGTGCTTTCTACTCTGATCAAGCAGGGTTTATATATATGGTACAGGATTCAGCGTAGTGGACAGGGCTTGTTGCGGGATTGGGAGGAACCAAGGACAAATCACATGTTTGCCGATGCAGAATCCTTGTCCTAACAGGGCTCAGTATGTCTTTTGGGATGCATTCCATCCTACTCAGACTGCTAACTCAATTCTGGTTAGACGAGCTTTCTATGGCCCACCTTCTGACGCCTATCCTGTCAATGTCCAACAGATGACTCTCCTTCACTAGTTTCTTTTGTGTGTGTGTGTGTGTTTCTCAGTCTTGAAGTTGTATGTTATCATGATGCTTGAACCTGTCTATAAAGCTGAAACCAATATGCTTTTACCGCAAAACAACATGTGCTTAATGACAACGGGCAGAAGCCCCATGATTACAAGTCTTAAAAGGACATGTTAGTTTGAAGAACAGAGCATGCAAAGTTTAGTGTGCACCAAAAATTCCAGAAAAGGGGAACACATGCATTATCGATTTACTCCATTCCTATTCCCACTCGTTCATTAAACCCACTCCACTCCTAACTGCGGTAGATCGGTCTTTGGATGTAATGTAATCCCCTGTGCTGCAGTATCAGCTTGACCCAATATCCGATCCCAGCCCATGATGTGTGGTAGAGCAAACTGCACAAAATACAAAAATCTAATGAAAAAAACAATCACAAATATCTCTTCCTTAAAAGAGAATATACTGTACTTGATCTATATCCATGTGCTAAAACTGACAGAACTGCAATGCTCTTTTGATTTTCCAGTTACTATCTTTGGTTTCTGAACTGATAAAATAGCAATAGAACAGAGAGAAGGCAGAACTAAAAATCATATCTTACACTAAAAGCTGTCTTCATCACTACAAATTCAGCTGTTGTGACAGGAACCACAATCCGTTCGTTGGTTTTGAGGATGCTATTATTAACGGCTGCAATAAAACAGCAAAAGTTAAGTCTCTATACAGCATTCCTATTATTCTATTCCATGCGAAAACTGTTATAGCCTTAACACTATTACAAAACCAATTCAAGTGTAAGCTTCAAAATTTATAATACAGAGTGCTCCCACAATTAACAATTTTCAGCAGTATACAGACTGATCTACCACTGGTTATATAAATATAGAAGCCTTACTCAGTGAGATGAAATAGCCGCTACCATCTGCATGTGGCTTAATCGACAACGACTTCCTGACTTGACCAGCATTACTGAAGATGAAATTTCTGAATTAAGCACACATATAACAGCAACAAGTCCGCAAAAACACACCAAATATTGAAAGCAAACAAACCTTGATTTCATGGAAGGGTCATGGAAAAACTCAGAGCTGTCATTGGAACCCATGCTGATCAAGGATCCAACTTCCGTAGCTGACAACGCAAACAACTGCAACAAACAAAATCATTTTTATTTTTCAGACAAGAAAGATACAAGTGAAGGTATAGAGAGTGATAGAGAGATAAAGACCTGTTTCTTTTCCCAGTCGTACTTGCGCTCACCAGAAGCAGGCATAAAAGTCATCATCACGGATCCACGACGATCTATCCGGAGATTTCCAGGCTAAAAATTGTACTCGGTAAGTGACGAGAATCTCAAAAGTCTTGAGAAATGACACATAAAAATTAAAAGCATACCTCGATTCTGGCGAAAGTGGGGAGAACAGGTTCAACAGAGAGAGCAGCTTTTCCTTTGAAGATAGCATAGGGTGCGAACACTCGACCACTAGGCTTTGCGGCATCTTTGAGTTTAAAAGGGAGCAAAAATCAGGGCAACATTTCAACAGAAGATAAAACGGAAAAGAACAATTCAACTACTGACCTTTGCCAGAGAAGCCGCGTGCTGAAGTTGAAGAATCTGCCCGTGTTGCAAAACCACGCAACGGCGAAACCTTAAAGTTTCCTTCGAAAAGTGATTTGCTTTGGTCACAAAGGCTCCTACTTTAACACACAAAATATTGCAGAGAGGCAATTTTGGTGAAATGGACTCGAAAGTTTGCATTTTTAGAAAGAAACAAGGGATTAGGGTAAACCCTCACCTGGAGAGCAAAGTGCGAGCTTGCTTCATCATCTTCTTTGACGAGAGAAATGAGTGTTTTTTGCGTCAGCTTTGGGGTTTTTCTTCTTCTTTTTTTTTTTGAGGTTTTTCATGATTTATCATCAAAACGGGTTTTTATCAATTCGAATATAACCCGACCGCTACTATATTAGTATTTTAACAGCCCAATGGGCCATTACTGTGATTTGATGGGGGCCCACCTCGTTGCCATTTCGTTGTCCTAATCAGATCTTTTCGAATCATAATGTTCAGCAAGAACTAGAAGAATGTGTAACGAGGTTAAGCTATTAAAAAAAACCGTGTAAGAAAGAAAAAAAAAATATAGCTACTAAAAAAACTGAGACCAAAGTTTGAAAGGAGTCTTTCCTTTGTACTATAACCCTTACCAACTGAAATTGATGCACTTTGGTTGTTGTTTCCAGTGTCATTTATAATCTCTTGAGTTACTATATACTTGTATTTGTATGCTTAAGGTCTATTCAAAGGCTTAAGTTTCAGTATGTGAAATTGATCAACCTGCATTTATCCTGAATGTTATGAAACTTCCCTTTTAACAATTGTGAACAAAGAATTGAAGTGCGAACATTTCTATTAAAAAAAAAAGTTAAAATGTTGTCTATATTTTGACGTGTGATTCATTCAAAAGTATTCGAAGAACTAAACTTCTAAAACGTGTACGATGAAAGAAAATATGTCATTTTCACGTTTGGTACGAAATCTCTATGCTCATTGGCGAACAATTTTAGTAAGTCTTTTACGTTGGGAACTGAAACTTCTCCTTTTGTTATTAGATGTAAGACGTACGCGTCATACGACACAAAAAAGCTATAAACTACAGTCACCCACTCACAATGTTGGTAACAAGCTCTGAGACTGAGACTTTCTATAAATATAATCACATCAGTGTTTTCGGCTCCAACACAAAAAAATACCATTAGAGAAGAATAAAACAAAGATGGAGAAAACAAGCGACGCAGTTCCTGAAGATATACAAATGGAGACTCTGCTACGGATGCCTCTGAAATCCCTGGTGAAATTCATGGCCACCTCAAAGAAATAGGCATCTATAGTCCGTACCAAACAATTCAGAGATCTTTACTTGCTCCGATCGTTGACAAAGCCTCGAGTGTTGTTCGTCGACATTCCTTTCCGACGTGATGTGTTGTTTCACTCTGTTCATCAAGAGGAGGAACCATTGTTGTCGTCTGGTCAACAACAGTTCCAGGTGCGTGTTGATCAAGAAACAGAATATGGGTTTTCTCACTTTACCAGAGATCCAAGGGATTAAAGAAGCGGACATAATAAGCTTTCTCGGATACGATGAGGTTACATAATTTTTTTTCTTTTTAATCTAATGTTAAATTATATTCAGAAAAAAAAAAAAAACACTTGTTTTCCAACTGTGATCAATCGTTTTTGAAATTTAAAACAGAGAAACTGGTTACAGATGTATTCAAGGTTTTATGTATGTCAAAGTCAGTGTTTGATACATCAGAAGGAGTCAAGGAGCTAAGGAACATCTGCATCAAGTTCTGACGGTGGGATCGGGTGAAGAATCTTGGAGACGAATAAAATGTAAGCATCCTCATTCTCCAGTTACACTTGGAATATGTAAAGAAGGAGTTTTGTACTATGGAGCTCGGTCCAATGGTGACAAATCTCTGGTAATGAGCTTCGACGTGAGGTCTGAGGAGTTTAGCGTCATTTGAGTTATTACCTGAGGGAGTCAACATTCATCCTCGTTGCAACTTGGTAAACTACAATGGGGAAATTGCCTTAGTGGATAAAGACGACGCTGAATTTATTCGTGTGACTGACTCGAATGGAAACGGAGTTTTTGAAATGTGGGTTAGGAAGGAAACTACAGGAAAGTGGTGGAGAAACCGTATTGAGATTCCTCGTTGGGAAGAAACTGCTGAAAATATGGATTATTTTTTCAAAGGTACCATTGGAACAGGAGAACTTGTTTTCGCACGAGACCATGTGATTCAGAGACCATTCTCTGTGCTGTATTATGACACAGTCACACACAAAATCAGAAGATTTCAGATTCAAGGAGCGGGAGGTCAGCTTCGTACTGTTCAAACCTTCTTGGATCATGTCGATACTACTTTTCTTATCTAAGGAACTAAAGTTGGTCCCATTGATCATCAGAAACTGGTTGGTTGGTTGGTTGGTTGGTTTTTCAGTCTCTCAAGTACTAGTATCTATAGTCTTATTGGGATTGATCGTTTTCATTAATATTGTTGCTAATCTTTATATTTATGGTACGTACTAATTAATGTTCGGTCATTCAGATGTAACAACGTTTCTATACTCTGTGTTTCCCTGGCCGTGGGAGCCTTTTGGTGAAACAAACAAAATTTATTTATTTATCTTTTGGGTTAGCCTCACTCAGCTCTAGCAAATAGTTGTAAATTTTATCATTTAACAAAGGAGGAACGAACCCAACTTTGCTTGCATTACTAAAGACTATTTATACACTTAGAAACTAGACACTGCAACTTAACAGTTCTGTTCATTGATATTCGTAATTCCTCTAGGGACAGAGATACCACTATAAGAAGAGATCAAAAGACTGAGCTAAATGTTTCAGTTTCAATAAGGGACTCATGTTAGACTAATACAAAACATAATTCTTGGTTATCTTCAAACATATACCCTCACTTTCTCGTTATCATTCTCAGCCTTGTCAAGCTCTGTCTCCGCTTTCTTCAAATATTCTCACATTTTCCGGAGAAACAAACCACGTCCAGGTTCAAAACCACGCAACGTCGAAGCTCCAACTTTCTCTTCGAGTAGTGACTTACTTTGGTCGCAGTGGCTCCAGATTCAAACAAAAACAACAAAGCCAGAGAGGTCAAAAAGAGAAATGGGTTCGAAAATCTGAACGTGTCCAATGAATTAATTAGGGTAACCTGGAGGGCTAAGCCGGCGAGCTTGCTTCATTATCTCTACATTTCCTACAGAATTGAGACCAGAGTTTTCGAACAATATTATTAGACGTATATTTAGATATGATCGTATATCTTGTAAATAGGCATATTTCTATATTCTCTAGATTTGGTTTCATCTTTTATGGATATATGTAATAGTATAAATACAAAGCTTTTAGGTCTGTGAATAACAAGGAGAACAATTTCCAAACTCTTGTTCTTGATTTCTCATGGTATCAGAGCCACAACTTTGAAACCCTAAAACTCTGTTCTTCTTCTCTTTCGATTTGGTTATTTCTTTCGAATTTGACCTCCGACTTCGATGGGTGATAACGTGATCATTCCTGCGACACCTGCAGTAACTGCGGCGACCCCGACAAGGAGGACCATCTCCTCCTACGACTTGACGACCGGCGATAATCCTGGTGCGGTTATCTCTCAGCCACTTCTTAACGGCCGAAACTATGATGAGTGGACACAGAATCTTCGAGTTGCTCTCAGTGCTCGGAAGAAGTTTGCCTTCATTGATGGGAACATCCCGAAGACCAGCAGATGATTCCCCAGACCTCGAGGATTGGTTAGCTAACAACCATCTGTTAGTTACCTGGATCAAACTGACCATCGAACCCAAGCTCCGATCCAACATCTCTCACAAAGAGGTGGCGAAAGATCTGTGGGATCACATCAAGAGACGGTTTGCGCTCAAGAGTGGAGCACGATTCCAACAGCTTCGTGGAGCTCTTGCGAATTGCAGACAGACGGGATCTTCCGTTGAAGACTACTTCGGCAGATTGACAAAGATTTGGGACGCCATGGCTGAATGCTTAACAAGCAAGACATGCGGATGTGGAAAGTGCGAGTGTGATCTCGTATCTGCTCATGAAAAGGAACGTGACACCATTCGTGTTCACGACTTCCTTTTCGGACTTGATGACGCAATACATGGTGCAGTGAGATCCCAAATCTGTGCACAGACTCCTCTCCCCGACCTTGATACGGTGTATCAGACGATTGTGCAAAACGAAACTGTCCAGCTTAATGCGAAGAAGGAAACAACTGCGGTGATGGGATTTGCTGCGCAAGCTTCATCGTCACAGATGTCTTTTCCGAACACCAATCGAAACAATGGATCTGGCAACGGTGGTAACTCGCGTCAACAGCCGCCCAACCCAGATTCTAAGACAGTGTGCACCAGCTGTGGACGCATTGGACATCAAGCGGCTTCGTGCTTCAGAGTGATCGGTTTTCCCGAGTGGTGGGGAGATCGACCCAGAAATCGAAACAATCTTCAAGGCGGCCAAGGAACGACTGCTCGTGCAAACTCGACACAGGTGGTTGGCACTCAAGCACAAGTTGTTGCAAACATGGCTCTCACCGAAGCTGACAGACAGGGCTTGACGGGTTTTACCGACGCACAGTGGCAAACGTTGGTGAAGCTACTTAACCCGAACAACTCCAACTCCGACCCTACACGTTTCAGTGGTAAGACTATCGAACCTTTGTGGATCTTGGATACAGGGGCTACTCACCACATGACGATACGTCTTGATCTTCTTGAGGATATCCGACCTGTTTCTCCGGTTTCGGTCAAGTTGTCGGCTGGTGAAAACGTTTTGTCAAATGCACAAGGAACAATTCGTCTGACTTCACATTTACACCTGCAGAATGTCTACTTTGTGAATGGATTTCATACGAATCTTATTTCTTTTGGCCAACTTGTCACTGATAACAACCTTGTGGGACAGGTTACTGATCGTTTGGTGATTTTGCAGGACCGCATCACGAGGACAATGATTGGTGCGGGTGAACGTGAGGGTGAGGGACTGTATCGGTTCCGAGGAATCGAAACGGTGACTGCTTTTCAGACTAGTGTTGGCGAAGATGGTGTTTTGTGGCATCGTCGTCTCGGCCATCCGTCTTCTCGTGTTGTTAGTTTAGTTCTTGGTGTTCGTCTAAATTCCAGTTCTGCTCTTTGTCTTTCGAATTGTGATGTTTGCTTGAGGTCCAAGCAAACAAGAAACTCGTTTTCTGATAGTTATAATAAAGCTACAAGTTCGTTTGAGTTGATTCATTGTGATCTTTGGGGTCCGTATCGTACTTCTGCATTTTGTGGTTCTAGATATTTTCTGACAATCGTTGACGACTACTCTCGAGCTGTTTGGCTATATCTTTTACCGGACAAGACTCAGGTCTCATCTCGTCTTCGTGAGTTTGTAGCTCTCATTACAAGACAATTTGATCGAAACATTAAGATTCTTCGGAGTGACAATGGGACTGAATTCATGTGTCTTTCGACGTATTTTCGGGAACAAGGAATCATTCATGAGACATCATGTGTTGAAAGGAAACATCGACACATATTGAATGTAGCACGCGCACTACGTTTTCAAGCTGGTTTACGTATTGAATTTTGGGCTAAGTGCGTTCTTACGGCATGTTACCTGATCAATCGAACACCATCGAAACTTCTCCACGACAAGACTCCATTTGAATTGCTTTATGACCGACCACCTAGCTACGAGCATCTCCGTACATTCGGGTGCTTGTGTTATGCGCACAATTTGAATCACCAAGGGGATAAATTTGCACCCAGAGGACGTCGTTGCATTTTTGTGGGTTACCCATACGGCAAGAAAGGATGGCGCCTCTATGATCTTGAGAAAGAAATTTACTTCACTTCAAAAGACGTCATATTCCAGGAAGAGGTTTTTCCATTACTAGAAAAATCTCCTGAGAGCACCAGCACAGCTGATCCTGTTATTACTCCACCGACAAATTTTTCCGATGAAGCTGATCTTCCTCCGACCATACTTCCACAAACAGAAGCTGAGTCTACACCGATGATTTCTGATAACACCGATGCTGACGAGAACTCTTCGACTAGTCCATCTGACTCGGATATTGAGTCACCTCGGACAGACACCAACACTCCCGATCACGTACCTACAGAACAGTTAGGTCGCGGCTTTCGTGTCAAACGACCATCTACACGCCTAACTGAATTCATCGTCAATACAGTCTCCCTCACTCACCCTCTCGAATCACCTTCGTCATTGTCCTCAGGTACGGTCCATCCCATTAGCAACTATCATACATGTGATCGATTTTCTAAGTCTCATCGCAGTTATATGGTGGCTCTCTCTCTTGCGGTGGAACCACGGTCATATCAAGAGGCTATTAAAGACAAAGAATGGGACGATGCGGTCAACTCTGAACTACATGCGTTAGACCTGAACAAGACGTGGGACTTAGAAGACTTACAACCAGGCAAGAAAGCTCTTGGGTGTAAGTGGGTCTTTCGAATAAAACTCAGATCCGACGGTTCTCTCGAACGCCACAAGGCGCGACTTGTGGTACTTGGCAACAAACAAATTGAAGGTGTTGATTACGGAGAGACTTTCGCACCTGTTGCTAAGATGACTACTGTTCAAATCTTTCTTGATATGGCAGCGAAACTTGACCACGAAGTTCACCAGATGGATGTCTACAACGCTTTCTTACATGGTGATCTTGAGGAGGAGGTGTACATGAAGCTTCCGCCTGGTCTTCGTTCTGACTCCGAAACAAGGGTCTGTCGTCTCCGTAAATCCATGTACGGTCTGAAACAGGCTCCTCGATGTTGGTTTAAGAAACTTAACATGGCACTTCGCGCGTTTGGTTTCACGCAAGCGCACACCGATTATTCTCTGTTCGTATACTCAAAGGATGGCGACACACTTCGGGTTCTGGTCTACGTCGACGATCTAATTATATCAGGGAATTCCTCGATATTTATTGGAAAATTCAAGTCCTATCTCTCTACTTGTTTTCATATGAAGGATCTTGGGTTTCTCAAATATTTTTTGGGGTTGGAAGTGGCTCGAAATGCTGATGGATTCTATCTGTGTCAACGCAAATACTGCACTGACATTGTTACTGAAGCTGGTATGTTGGGATGTAAACCAGCAGGTTTTCCGATCGATCAGAAGCATCGCTTGGCTTTGGCTACAGGTGCATTGCTTTCTGACCCGGAGCGATATAGACGACTTGTGGGACGTCTTGTTTACCTCTCTGCGACTCGACCAGATCTCTCTTATGCGATACATACCCTTACTCAGTTTATGCAGTCTCCTCGACAAGAACATTGGGAGGCTGCGTTACATGTGGTACGATATTTAAAGGGAACTCTTGGCCAAGGTGTTATGCTGCGGTCAGGCTCTTCCTTTCATATCACCGGTTGGTGCGACTCAGATTACGCCGGTTGTCCTCTGACACGCCGTTCAGTGACGGGTTGGATAGTTCAACTTGGCTCTTCTATTATTTCTTGGAAAACTAAGAAACATGAGGTGGTTTCTTTGTCTTCTACCGAAGCGGAATAT